TGTTGGGATGGCTATAGAGCAGAGGCTCAGAATACTGCCACTGATATTTTTTTTTCAATTTACTCTTAAAATTCACAATTTATGGTTGCCAATAATTTCTCATAAAGTGATTTCCTACAGAGCACATAACTGAATTTTTAACAGGGATGCAAATACTGGCCACAAAAAAGAGGTTAAAAAAATAGAAGGTTCAACTCAAGATTGTATGTGGAAGATAACATTCTACTCCCAATAAATTTTGTGTTGCACAGTAAGAGTTGTGGCCTATGCTATATAATAATTCATTTTACGTTCCGAGAATTTTATGTGACATTATTATACCTGTTTTGCATGAGAGCACCTGGGGCTAAAACAAGTTAAGTAACTTGTCCAAGGTTACAGGGCTATCAAGAGCCAACAATCTAACCTGGCCATGTGATCTGAAATGGTATTACTGCTATTCCATACTGCACGTCAATGGGACTGAGTCATGAGTACTTCACATTTTTGTGATAAAGACATTAAAGGCATGAACTACAAGCATTCTTCCTAGGTGTTTGCTTGCTTCAGAGATGTTATTACAGGCTATCTAATGTAGACTGATGCATTAAATATTTGGGTTACTTTGTACTTTAATGTGTTCCGTTCATGTGTCAAAAGCCATAAAAAGAGGCCTTTTGTAATTTAAGTAAACAAGATTTCTTAAAGAAATATGTATTTTGAATATATAAAAGATAAAAATTTACCACTTTTTTTTTCTCCACAGAACTATGATTACAAAGAAACTGTAGTTTATTTAAGTCATGTTTACTTGCTAAGTAGCATCAAAAACCTCATACCTAGAGGTGATGACACCATATCTAGATTGTCACAAAATGACCTACTCAGGGAGATAATGACTGTTAAAGAAAGAAAGCTTTGGGAAGGTTGTTAATGCTATAAAAATTAGTCTTTTCTACTTTTCTATAACACAGAGCTCTATCTATTACAACATGTGAATAAACCCTTTTCAGGAAGGAACAGAAGTACATATGTGTGTGATAGAAACATGATGAGAATCAGAATTAATATCAAATTTTGTATAGGTGTGGTGAACTTTACAAAATGGGCTCCCAGATTACTGATACTTTCAGATGTAAACTGGATGTTTTCCTTTCCATTAAAAAAGAATCATCATGAAGCTACATGGTATATTCAATGAGTACACCAGAGAACTCTAGAGCTAGAAAAAGAAGCACTTGTCTGCTTGCAACAGGGATTAACAGAAGTTTCCAGAGCTGCTATATACATTCTAATAGTTTCCTCATAGAATCTTATCTAGGAACCTCATTTTGAACCACAGTGACTAGCACATGGGCAGGAACCATGTATATAACAAAGCAGACATGCCTAGGAAAGACTACTCACAAGGTAATATGCATGTGCACTTATAGGCGCCCTCTTGCTTTATTAAAAATTGAATACATGACCAAGTGAACTCAGATATTCTTACAAGATTACTAAATATTTTGAAAATTAAGAAATAAATAAATGGAAGTGCTTTCATCTGATGCTATTAACACAAACTACAATTCATAGGAAAATCAGCAACAGACAAAGCATAAAAAAAGAATGCCAAGGAAATGAGTGAGAGAGTTATGTTTACCAGGAGCTTCTGGCTCATGAAACATGCAAAACATGATACATTAAAAACACTTGTAAGCAGAAAGAAAAGTACATTAACAGTCATACCATACTTTGCCCTAGTCTACTTTATTTAATTTCAAAGGGATTAATGTTTCATTTGTCGATTATCAAAATAACAAGAGTAAAATGAAACGATAAAGAGTAAGTTACAAACAAAACAATATACTCCCTCATTCATAAAATAAAACTATGGTTCTATAGATCTTAAAACACAAAAATATATCTTCAGCTACATATGTTGCCATAATCTTGCCTTTCTGCTCCATATAGTGATACAAGTGAAACAGTGAGGTTTGAGAGAAAGAAGAAGGAGTGAACCACAGGGAGCAAACACTATATAGCTGGAAGTATCTCAATGTGAAATTGTGCTAAGGAAAGTCTTAATACAGTGTTAATGTAACTTAACACAGTGATTAACACAGTAAACCTATTCTATTTAAAGAAAAATTGTAGTTTTCCTTCTATTTCTCATGAAACCAACTTACTGATTAGAAGCTGCCATATACTGGAACAGAGTGACAAGAGGGAGAGGGAAACATAAGTATCTGACAGCCTTTCTTTGTAATATTTCCATTTTTTTTTTTTACACATTTTCTAAGACATGGTTCTTTGTACTCCTTGGTTTAAAATACTTTACAAAATGAAACCTGATTAGTCTAGAGGACTACAAATAATGTTATAGTTACTGCTTGATTCCAGGATCCCCCTCAATTAAATGTTACATAATTTGCTCATTTTGCAGGATTCATAAATGTCAACTGAAACAACTAAAAATGGACCAGAAGAGCTACTACTCCAGAAGAACAACTATAGTAAAAGCAGCATTAACTTCTACACCATACATTAGTACTCTGAATTTCATTAAACAAATATATTCCCCAATACCCATGATAAACACAGTGAATGCAATTTTAAATGCTGAAATTATTAAGGTCTGAGGAATAACACTGAGTTATCTAGTTCCACTATTTAAATTTGGTAAATCAGTGAACTAAATAAAAATCAAATCTATTTTCGTTAGATTCTTGGTTTTCTCTGAAACCAATCTGAGAAAATAAAAACAGTTGCAATTTAAAAAGGCAATCTACTAATAAAGGAAATATAAGCAGCCTTTACAAGAACATGTATTTATTAAGAATACACCTCTTTTAGAAGTTAAGGTTTCTTGTGTTCAAATAGTTTGGATTTTGGTTTTAGATTATTAGAAACAAATTCACACTCATAATAAAAAATTATTAGTAAGCAGGACTTTAGTGCTCAGTTGACTTAAATGTTTAAGATACCAATGCCTAAGCCAGTTGTGACCATTTAAATGCCTTGCAAAAGCAAGATCTTTGTTTCCTATGAGTTACACTGCTAAATTTTATGACCTTACTGTGCACAAATTAATATCCTTTATAACTTTTCTTTAAAATGCTTTATAGCCTTTACTCACACAGTTGAACAACAATTTCACTGATGGTCAAATGTTTCCATGTCGACAGATGCTCCCGTGTAATATGCAGAATTTAACAATTATTTGACCAACCAACAATCAGACGACTTCTTTACCAATGCAGTTTTATCCCAAATCCCTGAAACACTGATCCTCCAACCAGCCCATCACACACCGCTCCGTGCCCAACACCGAGATACTCCGACAAGCCCAACACACAGCGCTCTGCCCACACCGCGCAGCGTTCCTAGCACTTTAACACTCGGACCTATGATCAATCCTTTCCTTCTGCCCCCCGGAGACTGCCAACTTTAACAATAGGGGACCGACACATCAACAGTCAGTGGTGGGTGCTGCACACACACCGAAACCCAGCAGACGCGGAGGGCCAATTCCGCTCCGGATTTTTTGACAGTCAGCCTCGCCACCGCTGCCCAGAGCCGAGCGCCTACCTAGTGTCTGTCCTTGGTGCTGAAACGCAGCTTTTCCGCCCGCGGACTGGAACACGACCGAAGCTCGCCCCGGCTGGACACTTCCGGGGGTCGGAGGTTTGCAGGCGAATGGGTAAGTTTCTGGTCCAGCCTACCTAGCCTTTGCCGACGGCCGGGGAGTCCCCGGCGGGGAGACTCGGGAGCTGCCTGCTGCAGAATAGGCGGCACCGGGCCGCGGACCCGAGAGGCGCCCTCTCCACCGCGGAGCCGTCTCCCGCCGAGCCGAACGGCTCCCTCTTCCTCGGCGGAGCCCTCTCCCGCGGACCCGAGCGGCTCCCTCCCCTCTCCCCTCCCGCCCCGCAGCCTCCTCGCGCGGACCCGAGAGGCGCCCTCTCCCACGGTCCGGACCCCTCGACCCCGCGTCCTTTTGTCTCCCGCCCGACGCCCGCCGTGCCTCACCATCACGGTCGCACAGCTGGATGGCCTCCAGGCTGAGGTTCTTGATCTCCTCACACGGGCTGCTGGGGCTGCTCAGGGCATGGTCCAGGCGCGGCACCTCCATCTTCGCGACCCCGCGTCGGAGCCAGGCGCCGGCGGCCGGCGGGGCGAAGGGCGGGAAGGGCCTGAGACGGCTGAGGGCGAGGACAGCCTCCGGTCGGGAGTCGCGGCGGCGGCGGCGGCGGCGGCAGGAGCTCCACCGAGCGCGCGGCTAGCAGACTGAACGCCGGCCGGCGCGAGCGCGGGAGGAGCGCGCCCTCCGCTGGGGCTGCGCACGCGCACGGAGGGCGGCGGTGGGCGCGCCCACCTGCCTGCGCAGGGCCCCGCCCCTTTCCTGCCGCGCGCAGGCCCCGCCCCCACCGGCCTGTCGCGCGCACGCGCGCGCGCACGCGCCCTCCACCTCCACCACCCCCCCCCGCCCCCGGCGCGCGCGCTGCCTCCGTCGCCGCCCTCGCCCTGTGGCGCGCCCCCGAACCCCCGCGCCCCGCGCGCCGCGCCCGAGCCCCCGCTCCCCGCC